GGGAACTGGACGTAATTCCATATGACTGGTCTCAATCACTGATTGTGCCAGTCTACAAGAAAGGACAGAAGTCAGTTTGAGCAATATAGTGTCTAAGATATTAGCTTCAATAGTACTTCGGCGCCTAACCAAAGCTCGTAAAGAGCAGACTAGAGAAAAACAGGCTGGTTTTCGACCTGGACGTGGTTGTATAGACCAGATATTCATCCCACGTCAGATCCTAGAACATAGACACACATTCAGACGTCCCACAATAGTAGTATTTCTCGACCTTAAGGCGGCATTTGACTCCGTTTATCGTGAGGTTCTATGGCAGTATCTGTCACTGAAGGGAGTACCAAAGTACATTAACCTTATAAAGGCTTTCTACTCGAACACAACTGGTCGAGTTAGAGCCTATGTCGAACTGTCATCAGAATTGATTACCTCGAAGTACAAAATGTTACTTCAGGATTGGGTTGCATCGAAACCTGAGCTAATGATAGGGAGTGAAATAGTTGAGCGTGTTGACCGCTCCACTTATCTTGGGAGTCTCGTCAGTTCTTTTGGTTTGGTGTGTGACGAAATCTCAGCACGGATACAGAAGGCTCGTCTAGCTTTCGCCAACTTGCATCATTTATGGCGCAGGCGAGATATCCGTCTTGCAACCAAAGGACGGGTTAACTATGTAGCAGTTCATTCCGTCCTACTTTATGGCAGTGAAACATGGCTGTTAAGAGTAGAGGATATTCGGAGGCTGCTAGTATTCCATCATAGGTTTCTTCGAAACATTTCTCGTATATCCTGGGACCACCGGGTAAGTAATGCAGTTGTTAGGAAACGGGTACTAGGTAAGGATGGCAAATCGATTGATGAAGTAGTGAAGCTTCATCAGTTGAGATAGCTAGAACACGTGTTACGTATGCCCAACCACCGACTGCCCCGACGAGCAATGTTGTATGGTGCAGGAGTAGGTTGGAAGAAAGCTGGGGGCGACTAGACCAACACGTGGCACAAATCCATGAAGTCACTGACAAGTGGAATGAGAACGCTGGTAGGTGACGACTACCTGGTTGGTATGCAGGAGATGATAACAACGATGATTAGAGACCGTGAATGACGTGGCTCAAAATCGTTTGCGATGGCGAAGGTGCATCCACTCTTTGTGTTCTCCCAAATTCTAACCTTCTGAATTCTTCATGTTCCGATCTTTTCCCTCTTTCCAAATTTATTTCACTGGATTATACTCCTTGAATAACATCTTCAAACCCTAATCTTTCGGATTACTGCTTATACTCTTACTACCTCTACCATTATGGGATTTGAATCGACAATTACATCTCTGTGCTAATGTGGTATGGCAACTCGAAGTGATGTACGTACGTACGAAGTTCTATGTTGTGACTGACTGAATCTTCAATAATTAGTCATAAAAACTTCCAACCTTAGGGAAATTTATTAAGTTGGTATATAATTCCCATTTAAACATTAAAATTAAAACACAGAATCCAGTGAAACATTTTCATATATATACGACTGTACAGTTTGATAATAAATTCGTTGAAAAGAGATCCCTTCGCTGAACTCAGTGTTTTAAATTTATTAAAGTCAAATAGTTCAGTACGAAAATCAGATTCTGCAGATCTGAAATACCCATTTCATTAAATAACCTCGTTGTCTCCAACGTATCCCATAAAGAATTATTCCTCATAACAGTAAGATTAGCGTCCTGGTTATTAAACATTATTACAGTCTACCAAGCTAGGAATGTAGTTTTATCACAGTAAATGTACAAACCTAATGCTACAGGCGTATGACATAGTTTTGAAGGGTTTCAGTACCAATTAGTTTTTCCATAGTTAATAAAACTCCGAATTCTCAAACTTTGTGCATAGCAATTCTTTAATATCACGTTACAAGAAAATAATACCTGGCAGTGTGAGTCAGTGGGACTTAGATTACCAAAGATTACTAATATTTTTCGACCCTCCGCCAAAGAGATTATTGGCTAGTAGTTTGATAAATTCAATCGTTTTTATTATGTATGTTAAAAATGATAGACAGATAGGTAAATGACATTTTTGAAAGCGTGAGTCGATTGAAGCTAGACCACCATGGAAAACCTGGAAACACTGGACGGCCGTTTCGTCCTATTATGGGACTCCTCAGCAGTGCGCATCCACGAACCTGCTCTCGCGAGCGAGATTCGAACCCAGGACCTACCAGTCTCGAGCCGAAGCCCTTAACCGATAGACCACTGAGCTGGCATCCAACGGTGTTAATGTCTAACTTCAACTGATCCACGAAGTTGAGCAACCATTCACCAATTGTCTTCAGTGAGTTCCTATCTCACAACAGACGTGGTTTTGAACTCCACTGATCGTTTACTTGGTACCCACAATCTCCGAAATGAAAACTCCAATTAAGTTTTTAATTTAGTTCAAAGTTCAAATCCGAAATACTATTCGGTTAGAGCTAGTTCTTGGTCAGTAACAAAACTGCCTTTATAAACGGATAGTTTATGAAAAAGTAAACGAGGATGTAAACAAATTCTTCATATTTGATGAACTGATCACTCTGCATGTAAACTAAGAAAAAATGACACATAAATTCGTGTTTATAGATATCCTTTATTAGTTTCTTATGATCTTCATGAGAAGCTAAACAGATTTTTAATTTTTCAGATCGTTCCTAATTAGGGTTAGGATTAATGGTTTATGGTTAAAGCTTTCATCATGAATGGACATTAGCTATAATGCAAAAGTGGTTTGCATTCATACAAATCAATTGATTTAGCGTAGAAATCCAAGAGGCGTTATACAATTAATTCGTCTACAAAATATGGTAACAAGAAGTTAAAGTTTGTTTGAAGACTGAGAGTTTGGAGATTAAGATATAGGGATAGTGTTGATTTACTCGTTACAGTTTAAAAAGATAGAATTGAGAGTTCAGTTTGTCTTAGGCTATCCGTTTTCACACTGTGGTTGAAGAAAGGAATATTTTACCATTAGTTCAAACATTGTGAGCACAATGCGATGGTATTTCTACTGTTCGTTTTAAGTAATGTTTGGATTTTGTGCAAGAATCTTAATTCTGACGGGCTAGTCCCTCATATATTAATACTTTTGTCCATTATTCCTTATTTACTTTTAAACAAATTCGTTTTATGAATGATGAGCTAGCAACGGCTTATCTCTGTAGGTTTACTCAGCAACTAATAGTAATAATAATAACAACACTATTATTATTGTTATTATTATTAATACGACTATTATTAATATCATTACCATTATCGACAGTGACATATGGACGACTATGTGAGTACAATAGACAATTGTTCATTGTCATACAACCTTATTCACAATAAATGAAGCTTTTATTTTCTCTCATACAAATGGCACTACCTATTTCCCATGTAATTGTATTTTTGGGTTAGTTAATTACACAGACAGATGTAAAAGACAATTTTATTAATTTAGTTTTTTGTACAGATACAAATGAAATTTATAATATTAATTTGTATTTTACTCATTTTCATCATGATCTGTAAGTAGTTTAACCAGACATTTCTTAATTAATTTGTTTAAAAATTGTATATTAACAAAATTGGTGGGAAGATTTCATGTGCTTTTATTTAAAGCTTATACAACATCATAAAAAAATGAAACAATTAGTTACTAGATGTACCCTAAAATGAATGATTAGGATAATTTAAAAGAGGGAGGGAGGTTCGAATAGATTTTCAAAAGCAATGGATTTGAGAATAAATTTACGTATTCACTTAATGTGAAAAAGTTTATTAATATTATGAACTTTGCTGTGTTTTGAACCAGAACTAAATTATCTTCAATTCGGAGAAAATATTACCATTTTGAGTAGGACATATAAAGAATCAGTAAATTGGAATTTCTACAGTATTTGTTGTACTAATTACAACTGAATTTATGTTCTCATTTACTTATCGTTTCTAAATAACATAAATCAATTTCAACTATAAAATTACTAAATTCTCCACAAACCCCCTTCTGATAATAACCATATGCTCACTAGTGACTGGTTTGGAGAGATATTTCCTGGAGTCCTAGTGAGAAGTAGTGACCAGTGGAGTTCAACCAGGTCTGTTGTGAGATATCAACTCACTGAAGACAGTGGTGGACGGTTGCTCGATTTCGTGGATTAGTTGAAGTTATACATTAACACCGTTGGAGCTGGCTCAGTGGTCTAGTGGTTAAGCGCTCGCGCGCGAGACTGATAGATCCTGGGTTCGAATCTCGTGAGACGGGATCGTGGGTGTGCACTGCTGAGGAGTCCCACAATATGACGAAACGGCCGTTCAGTGCTTCCAGGTTTTCCATGGTGGTCTAGCTTCAATTGACTCATGATTTCAACTAAACAATTCTAAATGATGTGAAGAATATGGTATTATCACTTTTAGTTGATTTACCTGATCAATTAAATTATAATTAAGCAAAGTATTGGGTCCTCGTTAATTAGTAAAGTTGCAATCGTACCCCTCTTGATGGTAATCCAATTTATCTGCTTGTATATCGTGATGGTTTCATCATAAACCAAGTGGAAAATCTAGTCCACAAAGAATTAAGCATAGTTATGGTGATATAACTCCATCATGAACAATGTAAAGTTTCGGATTAGTATGCATCGACCAAGGTTGGTGCATTATATAATAATATAGAAAGATTTCATACATGTCATCGAGGGAGAAGGGTCAAAAGGTGAGAGATTATCTATAAGATAGATATGCATCAATATGCTTAATTTAATATTTGCTCGGATAACAAAACTATTCAAAGTAACGTTTTAGCTGATGAGTTTTCGATTGTGTAAGTGGTGAAACTGTACTGGAATAATGTTCAAACAGTAACCGGTAAAACTGGCTATAATTTGTGGAATGCATACATAATAAAATTTCTTAGATAGGGAGGGGTACTTTTACTCACAAGAAGAATAAAGTATTTAAAGTATTTACTGGATGGCATATATATATATATAACCGAACTCACCTTTCAACGTTTTGATAGCGATCTCAGTATTGTTCGTATTGCTTTCGTCGTCAGCATTAATAGATAATTTCCCTTTATAAACAATTCCATAGTTACCTTCACCAAGTAGATTTTCTAGAGTAAAGGATGATTTCGGTATATATGTTTTAGAATCAGAATTCAAATACTGATTTAACCATTGTAACAACATTACGTTACAACGAAGAATGTTATGATTCTGTGGAAAATATTTGGATGGTTGACATAATAATCTTTGTGAAAATGACGTAAGTATATTTGTTATCTTAAGTTTTATATCAGTATCGGTACTACTGATGTTAGAAGAAGAAGAACGAGAATATATTGTACATGGTGATAACGGGGAAGACGATGATGACGATGTTGGCGACGACGATGCAGAAGAGCCGGAGTGATGCAACAATAATTTATGTTCTGTATTTGTATAGAGTAAATTAATTTTACGGAAAACATCAACACGTTTCGATTTTGCATGTTTATCCAAAAAGTCAATAGGTATAGAGAGCACAGTTTGCATTGACTTACGTCTAATTTGTATACAATATATCAATAATAGAGGGATAGTTGAAATTGTTATAAATATAATTATCCAAATAAGAATAGGTGGGAGGAAAGTAGAGATAAAATCTGCAGGGAAATAATCATAAAAATAAAACACATGTAGGAAAGAACCGCTAAGCAATTGAATATGTTTAGATTGATGATATTTAATAACTTTATTGGTATAGTGGAAATAGTTTAAACAAAAGGATTATTATATTAAAAACAAGAACAAACAGTATCAATGATGAATTTTATGATAGTATGAAAGTGTATTTTTGAAATTGTGCAATTACAAGTTAAAAGTCAACCGTAGTTTGTTTTCATTGAGATGTTAAAGTTTTCTGCCTTCAATAGTAAGAGGGCATTTGTGAGCAATTGATACGCAGTACGTAGTAACTTCCTATCAACCTCTAAATGACATAAACATATGCTAACGCTTACTCGTCCTCAGGTTAAAACGCTACTAGCATACGTCACATTAATTCATTCTTATTAAACTTCGAGGATTAACTAATTTCTATATTCCAGTCTTAAACATAATAAACTTACTCGAAATATTCCTAAAGTGTTACATTCTTTTGGAGTAGGTGAAATTTATGTGAGATAGAATTGATTCTCGAATTAGTTGTAGTTGGAAGTTGGCTGGTATAATTTCAGAATAATTTAATAAACAAACAAATCTACACAATAAAGACATAAACTATGAGTCTATAACCTGAATGGAGAGATAGAGTTGCACTCTGGAATCTATAGTACGGAAGTTCATAGCTGTCAACAATAACCTTTGTCTTTCAATGATTTCAGTACACCAATTTTCATTTCCTGACACAATACCTTTTTTTTAAATTCAACAAACATATTATTATCACAGCTAATATTGTTTGCAGAGATAGATTCCCCATTTATAATTTGAAAATAGTTTCTTCAATACATTTATTCAACTGTTACTCTTACAAAACATTAGTAAATTATAAAAAGCGGAGTTGATTTCAAGCAATTGACCTCTGAGTAACATCCTATACCATGTTGTTGATAAAATCGTATCGACCATTTGTTGTGTAACCCGTAATCCAGATGACTCAACTTATAGGTTGATGTAACGTGTGGTGTTCTGTAGATGGAAGCAATCGACAGGTATGTTAGTTTTTGATGGGCTATTTAAAACTTTCTCATCATAATGATCAAAAAGTACAATATAGAACCTTTACCATTAAAGGATTTTTCTAAGAGTTGAAATTTTTAATAACCAGAATCTACTACTACGGCTGAATGTTTATACATGATGACATTAACCCTCTAGAATTATACCAAAAGCTAAATGATTTTCTAAATTATTAATATTTTGACTACTTGCAAGTAGTCATTAGGACCTTGGTTCAATAATTTGTCTTCTAATAAAGAATCGACAAAAAGAGACGATACAACAAACAACTACATACGAGAACAACGCATTATTGTATACATGTTCACAATGACCTTCGAAACAACTTTTGAAAAGCATTATTGATAATCAGGATAAGATTGGATTTCGTTTAATTAATCAACTGGTTATGTGTGTATCATAAACAGTATGAAGCTGTTGACGAATATTTCTAACAAATCGAAATTTAGCCGATATGTTTTACAATTACAAATAATTAACCACTTTAACCTATTAATAAACACAGTAAAATATCTACTAAGACAAAAGAGTATCATGTATTCCAACAGAAACACTGGGATTTTTCAACGCAAATAAAATTTAGATTGGTGACATAAACATGACTAGTCAGGAGTTTTGAAGAATGATGCCGCGAATACAAGAGAAAAACTTTGGAAAATCGGCAGTGTTTCCAACTAAAATATATATGGGACAGACAATTATACTGAGAATTCTCTCAAACAATCCTCATTAGAACATAGTTAACAGAAAACAGTATAAATAATAAACCTTTCTTTCTAGGATAAAATCAATCATCATTTTAGTAATATTTAGGTATGCATATACAATCACCAAATGATTGAAAATAATTTTTAATGGATGACGCTAGATTGTAGTACTATAGGCTAATGGAAAAAAAAATCACACCACGTCATTGTTTCCACTTTTTAGTTTTATTTTGAGTTAATCATTCAAAGCACGTCCCAGCATGATCTAGTGTGCACCCTTAATGACAAGCCAATAGGCTGGTAGAACAAAAACCAAAAAAATACGCTCATAGACATGTAATTGTTATCCTAGAGCAAGAACATTTTGGACTGACTTGTAAGTTAACCTTCGTTTTATACAAAGTGACCAGCATTTTTATATTAGACAAAAATTATATTTAAGTCCTACTTTAAACACGATGTAGCTTGCAACATGTTTGAACGGACAACCCCGATTCTTGCCTAATGATGTAGGGATGTATAGTAAATACTTGAGTGAGAACGCCCCCACATCGAAACAACACAGCCCAAACAAAAATCAGATGGTAATTTGACCAAATTATATTAAAACTCACAAAGTAGTTACACTATGAGCGTTAGACAAACATATATATATATATATATATATATCAGACTTGTCATGTGAGCACCACTTTGATTTGAAAATTAAACAGTAAGTTGATGGGCCTGGGGTCATTTGCCTCAACAGCCTACGCTGACAAAAAAGCATGTTTGGTCATGTAAGTGAAGTTTGCTAATGCCAACACGCTACAGCTTGGGGAAGTCGTGTAAACAGTCAATGTACAAACAAATATAGGTTATTTCAGTATTGCTAGGCTAAAGTCATATTTTATCCATAACTATCATGTTATATGTTGTGTGGGGATTAGCTGTAAGGCGATCCTGTCTTTGTCATATTAAGCACTAGTTAGTTAGGTGGATTATTCCCATAACAATTTATTACTTCTACACACAGCTAAAACCAAATAAAATTGACGAAGAAATTATGAAGTATTTTCTTAATAGATGTATATAAACTTCACCACTTTATTATTTTCCGTTCTTCATAAGGACGGCGACATTCTAATAAGATGACTGATGAAACTATTTGGGGGAGTAATATGGATTGAGTCACGTTAATCAGTACCTTACCAGTATTTTGTAACAAAGAAATCTAAGGTAAACGAGGTAAACTTAATACTATATCAACTAAATAAGACATAGTATTTGAATGTGTTGATGGTATAACACATTCAATAGGTAGCTCTATTCACTATGATTTAGCACATAAAATAAAGAACAGCTTTTGGAGAGTTTATAATTTGACAAAGCTAACAACTAGTTTCTGATATTACAACTTTGGCAATACAAATACTGAACTAGATAACATTGAAACACTATTTCCAAGTATTACTTAGTAACAGTGTTTAATTTAAGTGACCAAATTAAGATATTCATTTTCATTATTATGTCATAATCTAGTGATAATTGAAACATTACTGTAAGTTGGTCTCATGGTCAAAACGCACTAAAAAACGAAGTCAACTGAAATGAAAAATAGAGGAAAGAATCTTTAAACACTAAATATAAATGGAAGTTCGAAAAATTTTGTCAGAGTCAAATAAAATAGTAAACCCTATGTGTGATGTTCATCATGATACTGATGGCAAGCTCATATTAAAATTGTACTCTATAAAACATCGTCAGTAAAAGTACATGGCCGTACGTTCACTTACACGTTACCGATGAGGTAAATAATCTTCTATGTATGAAGCAAACCTTTTCTATCTACCTCAGGTGTTTATAAGCTCAATCACGACCAATGTAATATATTGAAGGGAGATTCTGCACAAACGCAGTGTACACATACCTCGACCGTCTCCCTTCGATGTTAGTTAAAAATTGTAGACATTTACATATCCAAATAATTGTTGTCAAATCTCAATGTGGTATCCTAACTTTATTAATTACATTCAAATATACGTGAAGTGAATAATATAAAAGGGAAAAATAAACTTACTCGATTTTGAACAATCCATAACTGTAATTGTTACATTTTTATAAAAGAAATCATTTTTGCATATATACAATCCACTATCCCTATAGGACAAATTTTCTAATTTTAATGTAATGCTATTATCAAATAGCACATAGCGCTTCTCATTGTTTGTGAAAGAATCAGATACTTTTGAGTCCTAGATTTATGAGAATACAGAAAAAGAAAAAATACCTAGAATGAAACAAAAAACTGGGGTTTCTTTTAACAGTACTAGGTTTTAAGGGATTAATACATCTCACATAAGAATAACTGAATGAACTGGGAACTACTAAATTAAAACCATTATAGAGGTGAGTAATACTTGACATTAAATTGTTCCGTATTCCACAATTAATCTTGACTTCACTGTCTTTAATGAATTGAACTTATGTGGACGTATGTTTAGAAATATCAACCCCACTTTTAATAACTCACCAAGTACATTCACTACCTATTGACTGTAGACAGGAAATATGCCCCTCGCCTTATTTTTTCGTGAAATAAATATGTTTACTTCAGATCAGTACTATCAACGATCGACCGAGTTTATATGAAATATCGACGTATAACATATTTGAACTTGACATCACCATCGATAGATCCAGAGATAGACAGCTCTGATTGCCATTATAATATATTTAACGATATTAAGAGTAGTAGTAGTAGTAGTAGTACTTAATTTACAAACATGAGCTTATATACGCCCGCGCAGCGTTCGGCCTCTTAATTAAAATCCACTGGCTCGAAAAATCTTCGTTTAAATTCAATCATTATTGATGCCCAATAACAGAGAAAGGTGAGAAAAAGAAATACTAGTAAACCACTAACGGAAACATCTTAATTGATAATGAATCGTTCACTAACAAAGAAAAATGAGAACATACTTGATTCTTAACCTAAACTATGTATACATTTTTATTGCTTATTGTAATTAATTGCACTTTATGAGTGAAACTTGTCATAAAATCCCAAAAATAAAAGATACTATATATAAATTGATGTCTATTTGGTGTATAGTGGCATTGCATAAACGACGGCAATAAAAACACAAGTCTTTTTTTATACTTTCAACGCTTAATTAACAACTATATCTCAACTATAAGATATCAATAAATACATTGGACACACCAATGGAACTTGAGCATGTGCCAATAATGAAGTTTATTCGATGTAGATCCAATATATTATTTCAGAAAAGACTAATGGTGTGCTCGAGTAAGTGTATTTTATTATCAAATAATATTTCTTTAAAGATAAAAAAGCATAATTCAGTGTTTTACCTACAGTTTTAGTTTACGCTAACCACGATCTATACTAATAGAGATATACATCAGTACACGAAAAATTAAGATGCCTTAATTTCATATATGCAGTCTCACAAAATAGTTGGAAACTCACTGTCATTATCATGATAGCGAACGCCAATTACTTATGATGTAAATTTTCATACTATGATCAGTAAACACTTCAGTATAGAGCTAAGTTTTATTAGCTTCAATGAAATTTGATCACAAAATTCTACTATTTAATGATTAGTACATCAAGGTTTGAAGAAGAAACATTTGTTAAACACAAAAGTTTCAAATATCAGTTCAATTTGAAGACGTCCAAACACTTTTCTATCTGTAATGCAATAACGATTTTAGGGGATTTTTCGACAACACTTGGTATGGAAAACTGCATACTTTCAAGTAACTTGGCCTATACAAATGCCACCATTATTTTCTACAGCTATATAAGGAATACTGTCTGTAGACCTAAAGATCCATATACAAACCTGAATCACAGTATTATTACTTATTCAAACAAATCATACTGGTGAGTTAGTAACACATGAACCTAATACGTGAACCAAATACGTGATAAAGTGACAATTTAGCGTTGATTTATATATTAAATCGAACTTACATCCCAATAAATTAGCTTATCTGTAGTGCTACAGGCTTACTAAAAGAGGGTAGGCAAAATGGATATGAACATGTGGTTGTCTTATCTTTTTAACATTAAGATCACTGAGTTATGAGTGTTTGTACTATTTAGGGAAATTAAAATCATATCATAAGAAGGAATAGCAAAATGGTTCAAGAGGAAATAAAGACCTTAAATAAAACAAATCCTTTGAACTCACTTTCAAAAGCCTAGGGTGTTTGTCGTATTGGCCTAAATACCATACTTCAAGTTGACTAATTGTCCGTGGAACATGACATACAAGAATTACCTCTTTGGACACACAAGTTGCATTATCTGACGAGTAGAATCGAAACTCAGTGTAATTTGTTAAAATAAGCGTTGATAAATCTAAAGAACTCTTTTTGTTTGTTACACTGAACAAATCAGAATGAACATCTCCAGAACTGATTTCATTTGGTAGACGTAATTCATCAATTAATTCAAAATTCGGTGCTTCAAATTCTGTATCACTACAGTAGCGGTTTTGACAAGCAATGTTTACAAAACAAGTGAAATTATGTAGAAATGGTAAGTATGGATAAAGTCAGATAGATAAATTAAGCCTAAGTCTCAACAGTGGATACGGGAAAATAAGTTGTACTTCCTTTGTTCGAGGTACTAACCATATTTATTTATTCTCAAATATTAAAAGTGAGGTAAACGTGTTATAAGCACTATTCTAAGAAAATCATATATCACCCTTTAAATCAAACGCTAATTAGGAATATACCGTATTTGAATCATCAAAATCCTATAAAAACAAACAGCAAACAGGACAATACACATCACGATTGATCCATAAAACCCTGTAAAAGCTTTGAACTTCATATACAGACAAGAATAACATAATACATTACTGTACTATGGGGCTAATTCCTAGAAGAACTGTCATGGATCAAAATTCAGGGCCGCTTTTTATACATCAGGATTTATTGCTCAAAGTAGTATAAACAAACATTATACTAAATATATACTTATCTCTGAGCTCGAAATTCAAAAAGAGAGTGTAAAAAAATGCAGCATTTCAGTACTGGAACATCTTGTCGATTTTGATTACACTGTCCAACCAGAAATATCTTTTAAAACTATCTACACTGTCAGTCGATTGAGCGTAATAGGATTAGAAATAAAAGATTGTGTACTGCAGAGACTTTAGCGATGCACAGGTTTGAGTTTAAACTTTATGTCAATCAGTCAACTACAACGTAGGACCAGGCGCATATACGCATCGGTCCAAGTTACTACACCCCATTAGTGCAACAAGGTGATTGCATATTATAAGGATATTATACTGAGAGAAAAAATTAGTTCGTAGAAAAAAGGCATAAAGGACAAAGAGTGTATACAACTACGTCGTTTTGACCAGTTCTGAGCCATTTCAACTAAAGTCTCCAACCATTGGTTACGATAGTCATGCGGACCCCAACCAAATAATCTGCATCTACCAACATGACTCAGACTAGAAGTTGGTGACTTCAAGGACTGATGCCACGTTTCGGTTGAGCCGCCCATAACTTTCTCCCCACCATCCCCAACATTAGTCAGCAGAGCGCGTCGTGGTAATCGGTGTTCAGGCATACGTAACACGCGCCCAACCATCTCAGTCGATGAAGATTCATGACCTCATCAACTGATTTACCATCATTCCCTAATACCCTGTGTCTAACCTCACTATTACTTACCCGGTGATCCCAGCAGATGCGAGCAATATTTCTAAGACATCTGTGGTCAAATACTAGTAGCTTACGAGTATCTTATACTCTTAATAGTCACGTTTCTCAGCCCTAAAATAGAACAGAGCGAACTGCTGCGTAGTATACTCGTCCCTTAGTTGATAGACGGATATATCGTCTTCGCCATAGGTGACGTAAGTTGTTAAAAGGCAAACGAGCTGAGATTTCGTCAGACACTAACCCATTAGGGCTGATCAGACTTCCAACGTAAGTGAAGTTGTCGAAGCGTTCGACTACTTCACTCACTATGTACAAAAGCAACACGTCTAATTTCATTCTACTTTTAAATTTTCACGCTAGGTGATTACAGTTCATAGTCACCTCCAGTCACTTGCTATTATCACACCTAAGTCTTTTATTTCTTCCACCTTTATACACATCAAATGAATAATTACCTTTTGTGTGTTTTCCTGTTGTTTTTGTTTTATGACTTCCAGATTGTTATATATGTAATATTTAAAATTTCTGAACATTTTATGGTGTAATCACTTTCTATTTTACAATAGACTACTATATCTGTTAAATCACTACAAGGTGAAAAAGCCCAAGTTATTGATGTTGAAAAATGTTTTTTCTTCATTTGCACAATGGGTCATAAGGGAATAATCAAATTTTAATCAGGATTTTATCACGTAAATGAAAGCAGCTCAATCAATGTACAGGACCACAGAGATTTTGCGATTAATTTTTTGAGTTGTAGTTAATAGCTAGTATATAAGTGTGAGGCCACGAAAATTGACAGTTATAATATGAAATGTTAATAAGAGGACATCGTTATTTTTCAAATCTAGTAAAATTGATCCCATTCTATCAGTATTTTTTGCCATTTATTTCGGACCCACTGAAATTCCCCATTTGTTTGCGTGAATCGCTCTTTAGGGACTGATGTTGTTTTGGAGATAATTTTTTGATCATAAGATCGTGCACAAATTTAAACGGTTATCCATTAAAACTCAACAAAAGAATGCACAAGAGATATTTTAAGAATGTCAGGTTTATAAGATTAAAAAATTGTGGTGTATATATGGGCTAATGATCTCTTTGTATTGATGATTGTTTTGATTTTAAATTCCAAATACAGTACATTCGTTCGTGCTCATCTAATACTTCTTGATTAAATTGCGTTGTTTCTGGGATTACTAGTTTATACTATAAATCAAATACTTCAAATCATCACAAAAACCCATATTTGGATATATGTAGAGAAACTCACCTTGAATAAGGAAAAAGTATGTCCGTCAATTTTTGAAGGACTGTAAATGAGTTGGTAAGAGCTATGTCCGAATGATTTGACGTTCGAATAATACAATCAAAAGAATCACTTCCACTGATTGATACAATCGTAATTTCCGTTGAATAGCAGCTCCCACTTAAGTTGCGTTGAGTTTCTGGGACAGAACTGCAACTGAACTCAGCCAGCTAAGAAATAGAACAAAATTAAAATAATCTAGGTTGATTCGAATTACGGTGTCAGTAAAACGTATCCAATCAAAGGTAAGATTTAAAATCACTAGTGACTGAGAATTCTGTCCAGTTGCTCCACTGTTCATTCGATGATAAATTGAATATTCTTCATTGTTTTTAGTTTGAGAAAGACCACATCACCCAGACCTTAGTCAAAACAAGTGAAAATGAAACTAAGATACATTCTCATAAACTTCAAAAGTTACATGAGTGGACTTATCACCAATGACGTTATCAGTAATGTGTAAACACTATTTGATGACATCTTGTCACTACAACTTATTTACTTAAAACCGTCTGTCCCTCTCATAAATCTCCATGTTACAAAATGTGTGACCCGAAAATACGTCACACGTTTTATATCAACTCTATATTCATATTACATCATCGAAATTTCACTTGTGGTCTTCTTGTTGTTAAATAAGGAATCCTCTTTACTTAACCCAGCGTTGAATGAAGTCCATTGAGGCCCAAAAGATCCCACACTTTAGAGAATAACTACAAACGTTTCCAGAATCTTACAAAGGGAATAAAATTTTGTCGTCAATGGACAAATACATGTAACTTAGAAGACTCTTCTCATCGTTGTTTCATTCAACCAATGGGGTTAGGCAGGGTTGCCTAATCTCACTATTCCTCTTCAACTTTGTTATCGACGACGTTATGAAGAGAGCCCTGATGTGGGTAATGGTGGTGTGAATCTTTTGCCTGGAGACTTTTTGAACTTAAGTATGAGAATGGTATCATCTTGATGTGCAGTGAAAGCCAAGCCACGAAATCTGTACCTAATTAGTTAGCAATGTGTTCGTAAGTATTGCATTTGCTTCGCATGTGGTTTGTAAGTGCAAAATACTTTTGCAAGACTAGTAATAGCTTACGTCTTAACCCACTCTTGATAATGAGCATATAGAAGTAATTGAGAAGTTCGAGTATCTGAGTATTTATTTATTTACTTATTTAAACACATAAACATTGTTACAAGGGGGCATCAAATATGTATGCGCCACATAAATCACTCAACTTGTGTGAGGGCTGAGATACTGCCCGAGTGCCCAGACCGAAGCAGGTGGTTTTCTTAGGAGGCCATTTCCCGAGCCTTTGACTTAAAGGTCTGATCAACAAGGCAGTGAAGCAACGATACGAGACGCAGTCCCATGGTAGCTGGTGACCAACAATAGGTTCATACGTCATTTGTTCCTTCACAATCGTGTGGCCCATGTGCGCCATAGATTTGGAATCAAGGCTTTCTAACTCCTCTACATGGACCCCCTGTATCCACCAACCCGGTTAAACCGTCGGACGTTCACTTTTCTTCCTCTAAATTTTGTAAACACCCTCATTGAGAGAAGGCAGTAAGTAGGACTTTCCTGGTAGTGGCTATATACGCGTGGCTACGTGAGGGCGTTTCGAGAGGGAGAGTTGACCCTCCCCTTTCAGCCGTACCATGGCATTTCGGGGCTGATGGTGGCGTGAGCGATTAAATCAATTCATATAGAGTAAGAGGTAGAGGGGTTTATGCTCATCTGGTCCACCTCTGGGGCCTTTGTGACACTAGTGTGGCTGTGAAAATTGCTTGAGAATCTTCGCCTGTCCACGTTGAGAAAGTTAAACGACTCTGTGTTTGACAATCGTTTACAATGGATTTCTGATATCCAGCGGCAACACCATGTTAGTAATGCAGAATTTCTGCAACGTGTGTCCAGGGACAGCAACGATAATTCGGTGGGTGTCTTCATCTAGAAACATCGACTTCGGTGGCTTGGACATGTACCACAAATGTCATCCCGGAGAATTCCACGTTGTGCATCATTGGCGGACACTGGGACTAGTTGGAAAATGCGGAGAGGTGGTCAGTGTATGACACGGTGTCGTGGTGTGAAAGAAAGCTGTACAAGACTGGCTTCTGTTGGTCCTCCACTACTCCCTAGCTGGGATCCTAGAGATGGTGGAGCACAGTGGCTTGAGACGTTATCAAACATGGCTTAGAATATAAGTCAGTAGCGATCCTGCTGCAACTTTCTTTTACTTTTTTCACAAAAATGGAACGTAACTTCTTTAATTGAAGGGATCATTTCGGGTTATATTTTTCTTAGATAAACTGCTTCTCCTATCGTTATTATGTCCATCGTTGTTAGTATCACTATATTGTTATTATTACGCCAATTTCTACTCAGCTTTGTTGCTTCTCTATTATACTCACCCTCCTTTATCTCTTCAAAACCCCATTTTTATTGTTGCGCATATAATATTATTGTTTCCCGTTGTGCCAATGTATGAGCTTAAATAAGTAACTGAATTAAGACCCAAAAAACTCCCAGAGCAATAATCTTTTTCCTTGTTTAGGAAGAACTGGAGATTAAAAGTAGTGGCTAAAAACAAACAAGTATCTGAAGACCAATGACTACCATGATAAAAGCCCACCACTAAGCCTAATCAAAATTCTTCCTTAATGGGCGATCATAACACTGAAAATTAAGTTTCTCTCGTCTAGCGCATTTTTGTTAACGAAATAGCATAACATGAAGTATGGATAAAAGTGAAGAAACATCCTAAGATTTCACTGGTAGATGGCTATGTTAAATAAACCCAGAAAGTAAGAGGATAACTAAAATGTTCACTGAAATAAGAACTTCTAGGCAGTTCAAGTCAACTGAAACTCTAACTATTCGATTTCAGTCTTGATACAGCTAAAGCATACACATAGGACTTAAAATTCTAGAGTTCAACCATAGAGGAAATAGAAGTTGTTCTGTTGAATCTACAACTATCTGAAGTTACTACGTGATAAATAGTCCTTACTCGTTCTTTAGTTAACGTAAGTTATACAGCCGAAACAATGAGCAACCAGAATTCAGGGAGCAAATATCAAGACAGAGTTAGAAATTGTTGTTAGGAGTTGAGACTAGTTGTTGGAGCTAAAGTCTCAACTCATAAACTGACACCAAATACGATGCAAGAACCCTAAAATTATATCCTAACTCGAATTAATTAGATTACAATTCGTTCACTAATCTTTGCCGTCATACATACATTGGTGGTGCCAACTCTACTGAAGCTCTGTTCTTCAACCTTATCGGCGACCTGGGATTATTTGAAAATGTGAAGTCGGCAACCCGTTGGAGAAACAGTCAGACGCCATCACGCTTAGACTGGGTATTCACAAATGAAGAATTCCTAGTTGACGACCTCTCAATCCTGGCTCCCCTGGGGAAAAGTGATCACGCCGTCTTATCATTCAGCTTTGTCAGCAAGACGGAGCTACGATATCCTACTAGCAACAAGCGCTGGAACTTCAAACGGTTGAATGTGTTAGCTTTACAGGACTATCTTCAACAGGTGGATTGGGATGTTCACCCTCAAATTGAAGTGGATGCTCATTGGGATTTTTTACTGCACACGATCTTATGTGCTACTGAGCATTCAGTTCCTAAAATGGTCCCAAAAAGCTACAAGCAACCTCCAATCATCAAGAACCGCACTCGTCGTTTGCTAAGCCGCAAAAGGTACTGTTGGGCTGAATATAAACGAACTGATAACGGCGCGTACAGGCAATACAAACATATAAGGAACATATGCACAAAGGCCATAAGAGAAGACAGGCTTCAGTTCCAGACCAAGCTTATCGATAGATTCGTCTCCAATCCGAAAAGCTTGCTCAGTTATGCAGCTTCTCTTCGACAAGGCAAAACTGGAGTTTCCCAACTGCTTGGTCCTAATGGCCCGACCAACAACGACAGTGATGCAGCTAACCTTTTGGCTGAACATTACTCCCGGACATTCCAGCTGACCCACATCAACCATACTGACGAAAGCTTCACCTGCACCTCTACAGGACTTTCCGAAGTGGACCTGAGTGCTGACCTGGTGCTCCGTAAACTGCAGAACCTAAGAAAAGACACTTCTCTTGGTCCGGACATGGTTCATTCCGCTGTATTGAAGGAAGCAGCTTCAATCCTGGCGACACCACTTTGCGTGACGTTTGCACACTCGCTAAGCAGAGGCAAACTACCGGAAATATGGAAGCTGGCCCACATCACACCAATTTTCAAAGGAGGTCGACGCAGTGAACACTCAAGCTATCGACCAGTGGCCCTTCTCTCCATACCTTTAAAAATTATGGAATCCCTAGTATTCGACGGCATACTAGAACACTTATCATCCTCAAAGTTCTTCTCGCCTCAACAGCACGGTTTCAGAAAAGGTCATTCTTGTATGACCAACCTGCTGACTGCGGTGGATAGATGGACAACCATCTTGATCGCAAGGGGAAGGTTGACGTCATTTACCAGGACTTCTCAAAAGCTTTCGATATGGTCAACCACGTATGTCTTATCAAGAAGCTTGGACGATTGGGTATAAAACCCCCTTTAATTGACTGGCTCACTTCATACCTAGAAAACCGACATCTTAAGGTCAGGGTTAACTTCACTCTCTCTCAGGCTATGGAATGTCCTAGTGGGGTCCCCCAGGGTTCAATACTAGGACCTCTTCTCTTCTTGATTTATATTAACGATCTTCCTCAACAAGTTTCATCTGACTTATTGCTTTTTGCTGATGATGTGAAACTTTGGAGAGAGATACGTAATCATAATGATATACTAGTTCTTCAGGAGGATCTGACTCGACTTCAAAGTTGGGCAGACGACAACGGACTTACCTTCAACACTTCAAAGTGCAAGGTAGTCCATCTGAGACATGTTGAAGACTATAGTTATAACTTAGGTAACTCACCTCTAGAAGTTTCCCAAGTTGAAAAAGATTTAGGAGTGTTGGTACCCTACGACCTGAAATCGTATGCGAACTGTAACAAAAACGCCTCTCAAGCAAACCTTGCACTGGTAACATTGAAGCGCATTTTTGGCCAGTTTGACGGTAGAAACTTCCATATAATCTTCAACAGTTTTATTCGTTCCCACTTAGAGTACGGAAACATAGTATTTCCTCCCTTCCTCCAAAAGGATAAGGACACTCTGAAACGTATACAACGTAGAGCCACGAAATCAGTTCGGGGTCTCAAATTCAAACCTTATGAAGAGCGCCTCCAATCACTTAACCTTTACCCGTTAGGGTATAGGCGTCTTAGAGGTGATCTTCTTATGACTTATAGTATCCTTAATACTTCTGGTTATCCCCTTAAACAACTTCTTAAGCTTAGTCATAACACTAACCTCAGAGGTAACACACAGAAATTGGAGACCCTACATAGCAGAACAGACTGCAGACACAACTTCTACTCCGTTAGAGTTGTCAAGTGCTGGAATTCGCTGCCGACTGAGCTAGTCCAAGCGACCCCCCAGGAGTCCTTTAAGAGAAAACTTGACTTATTCTTAAGGACTAAGGATAACATATTATTATGATTTACCAAATTCTTTTTTTCCCTCTATTATCGTTCATATACCTAGGTTCTTGCCTGGAGGTATTGGTGATCCACTGCTACCAGACACGGAAGCCCGTTAGGCGAAAGCTTCTTCTATTCCGTCCTCAACCATTTGAACCATTTGAACCTGATGAAAAATGGTTAACACCTCAAATTCATTAACTGTGTACTTTAGGTTTGCAATATTCCTTTAAGCTAACCAGGGTAAAGTAAGGCAATAAGAACATTTTGTGACTGAAAAACTTTGCAAGATAAGTTTCATTCAGTCAATTCTGCGTCAAATTACTGAGTGTTTTGATCAATGTTAAGTTGTAAAATCCTCAAACCAACGCTTAAAGCCCCACAAAACTCTCGACAAGCGGAAACGTAGACTAGCAAATCACTAACTAGGATACAATATCGTATACATTACGCGATGTAAGACCCTTTCAAAAGCGCATAGATAAAAATAACCCAGGAACGAACATAAAACTTGCACAGTACTCAATGAAGACAAACAAAATTGATAAGAGACAAATGTTACGTACGCTGAACGTCATAAACACTTGGTATAGAAAAAAGTGTCGACAATTACCTTCGAATATATTACAATTAAGTCGTCATGGCCGGATGGCATATTCCAATGAACCAGGGGAATAACAGAGCTGTTTTTTACGTAGAAATAACAAGCGAGTTTTAATGGTTTCACAGCAAATTCATAAAACTCAGGAATGGCTTTCATTTTTTGGTGCCAGTAGGGTCTTTCTAATTAAGTCAACAGTAAACAGAAGCAGGAAACAATACCTTGCTCTTCCGCCTCCACATCAGGGATAGAATCTTCATGAATTGCTTTATAATACAAATCAGGATCTGAAAAATGCATACATCTACTTTCTATTTACCATCCGCTTTCAAACATACTGAACTGCATTCTTTGGATACATTACTGGGATCGAAACATTTATATACACCACTGTCTTCCGACCTGAAGTCAAATACTTGAAGGACATTTTTTGAATGCAAAAACTTCCCAGGTCTTGAAAATAAGATTTATAAACTTAGACTCACTTCTTGATAATCTGAGAAGAGTTCAACGTCCAGAAAATATTTGGAGCGTCACACGCACAGTGTAAAGTCCGAATTTCGTACATTGATTGTGATTTACACTCAAGACCAAATGCGTAATTGAGACCCATCATCAGGAAACAGTAAGCCACCGAAGTACCGATAAATGACATTCGCATAAACATATGAGCGAACACAATACGTTACTACGCAATTCAACGAAGACATCAAGGACGTTCTGGGCACGAAAACACAGTAAGGAAACGAAAAGTTAAACAGCATTCACTGATGTTCAACGTGTATTGATAATAAATAACCATAAACAAATAGGTCCCTCTGTTCTCACGTGTTAACTAACAAGTTAAAATTTGAATTTCTGAAACTTCTTAATGATGGGTAAGAGTTACATAATTGTCTCCCTAGTACTCATGTAGTTGCAAGTCTTCATACATATTCAATGAGGTCAGTCTAGCCACTCATATTTAATTGTCTTGTTGTATTCGAGAAGCAGTTGTTTTTTCTAAGAAGTTTGAGAACAGCTGAGTGCTTTTGTTCAATAATTACAAGGTTGATGCTATATGCTATTGTTACAGGATGGAAAAGTAATTTACTAATATATGTATAACCGAAATCCAATATCTTTGTTTCGACTTCATGAAAACCGACTGATTTGCTTGCGCTCGCTTCCTGTTATTTTGGTACGGTTTCAGACACTTTTTGAAGTCTAGCGACGCGACTGCACTAATCCTGATGAGTTTGGTAGTTATTTACGGTTACGGTTTGTTTTTATTGTACTTAGGTGACATCATTTCCCGGGATCAGTCGCATATAGAATAGTTTAGTGTGTCAGGTTCATGCGTTGGTTGGTATTTTGTTATCGTTCACCCGACAGATATTGCGGATTTCTTATATGTAATGTTCCTAGAATTTTAACGCTCTTGCATTGATTATAGCATCCATCCAAACAGAAAAGAAAAGGAGACACGTGTTAGTCATCCTTAGAAAATTGCTGCTTAACAAGCAGTTGTTTGTTTACAAAAATAATCTTACTGTGATTGATATCCTTGATCGTGTCTATCCCGTTAGTCGCTTTACCCTGAGACCATGCATCGTACTGAATCATTGTGATAGGTTGTCATCACTTTAAATGAATTGCATTCAGATGACTACCATATAGCCGAGGAACTAAAAGTTTCAATCGCTGAATTACTCGGTTACAAAAGCGTTATTGCAAACGAGGACGACGCGCTGCTGTGTGGAACTGAGAAACCGACGAGGTGGATTGATAAACATAAGCAATTCATTCATTTTCAGGGCTGCCAAACGCAAACTCAAAGACTATTTGTGTACCTCTGAAGAACTAGATTTTGCTGAAATGGAAGCTGTATGTATTCCATTTGACTTTCAAATTGTCACCATTTTGACCAGGAACTTCTAACCAGTAGCTAAGTAAATATCTATTGTGTACATTGTCACAAACCAGTTCATCGAAACAGAGGTGATCTCACCACCTGTTCTACCAACTTCAACGTCAGTAAGTAGGTAACTGGTGAGTTTGAGTAATTGTAAGCATGGTACCAATAAGTTGCACAATGATGACGGCAAAACACTGGAAATGATTCTGCAAGCAATAAATGGTCTGTCTGGCAAGATGGACAAACTTACTGCTTACGTCAAAAGCTCATCCGTGGTTGCGAAGGTCATTCACGGTGGCAGTATAGACACTTCAAGTGGCACATTTCCATTAAAAACTCTAGTGTTTTCGGATCCTGAGTCATTACGCATATCTCAAGCGAAAAATTCTCACGGAATGCATTCTTCACAGGATTTAATTTTAGGTCGTACGAATCCAGGACGATTAATGATAAAGGCAATTTGTTTGCAAAAGAACAATATTTTACACAAAGCATACCAGTTCAAAGACAAAACTGTTACAAATGTTACAGAATTTACTGTAATAAGTTACTTAGTGTAGTTGGTATACAGATCAACAACTTCGGTGTTCTTTGTCGACGACTTGGGGATTACTCGAATTCGACAGGAATAGAGTGACCTCCTAGCTTACGTCGAAATCACACTTCGCGCTTCATCACCCTACCTTCTTATCCAGTACTATGATTACCCTTATGACTGTATAACTAAAACATAACGTTATGAAAGAAATGTCCTGGTAAGGATAGGTTCAAGAACGGTGTTCGACCACTGGTGAACGAGTCAGTCCATGTCGTCCACTTGATATATGTCAGCTGATCGTCATTGACTTTGGAGAAGATCTGTAAACTGTTTGATACTCCGTAACCCAACTGCTGGAGGAATTGGTTAGGGTCCAGTTTCATTTTTCTGGCCCTACAGATATATCACAGGACACACGGGTCATAGAAACAGGGAGGCAAATATGAGTATATAAGAATGTGAATAACGTGCAAATTGTGCAGATCTCCAAAAAGCAGCAAGAGAAAGACAGTGTTTGGATATGCAGACAATGTTCTGCTTTTTCCGTACCAATTATTATTACTAGTTCATATCATTATTGCTTCTATAGGTGATTGGACCCCCGTTAACAAAGTTAAAAAGGACCAGGCGTCACCATCTAAGAAGCTGAATATACCAAATATTGTAGTGAAATCAGCTGGTGATTTGGCCTCACAGTCTACCCCAGTAATGTTCATCCGGTCAGCAAGGAACATAGGAATCGGAAATGCACGTCAGCCACCAAACAACAGGGTTCTTAACGTGAACGCATCCAAAAACCTGGGAAAACAGTAACGGTTCGCGGTGATTCTCTCATAATCATGAACATCAAAGACAGCCCTGACCTTCCTCTCAGCTTGCAGAACAATGATGACAGGATGTTCTTGGAAGAGTTAAACAAGAAGCTTGAACTTCCGAAAATAGAGCCATTGTTGGTCACATGGTTCACTCTGTGAATTGACTTTAAGCATCAGAGTCACCCAAGTCTACTTCGTGTATCACTCTCTAACGCTACCGACTTAGAGGATATCCTACTAGCTAGTCACTTACTGAAATCCGATGGGAATGTAATAATACTGCATGACATACCGTATTCTGAGCCCGATTTCATCCGAAGCATCCCTAAGAAATCTCGCAAGAGGTTTTTGCGTGGAAGAAATATCAGTGTACAAGGTGTACCGGTCACACAAACTCTGATATTCGGGAACAGAAATTCATCAAGCAGTCTTTGAAGCTTAAAAACATATTGATTCAACAAATGGTGAGACTAGCCAAGCAAGACGGGATTCTAGACCCCCGCCGAAGAAGATAACATTGCCATCCCCCTATATGACAGCTGCAACTCTGGAAACATTTTGTGCCAACAGACGCCGGTTGCCAACTGGAATCCGCATGCAACTGGATAGGCCACATGACTCCAGGATCAGGCACGAAGGCAAGTTGGAACTGACTATTTTACTTGTGGACTGTCTAGATCCTAAAAAAAAACTTGGAAAGGACAGGGGCTCCCAACTCAGTAAACCTTGTATAGGTAGGCTACCTGTCCATTCACGTAAGGCTCTTACAGACAAACATGAAGGAGAGGATCACGCGTTTCAAATTGAAAGAACAAACTGCTTATACATGAACGCCGCGAGTGTACCGAATAAAGTGAATGAGCTGCGTAAACTCAGTAATGCTAATAATGCTCATCTGATAGGAATATCTGAAACTTGGATATCTTCTCAGTTTACGGAACAGGAGCTTGCAATACCCAGAATGTCCTTGTTTCACAATGACAGGATAACAGGAACTGAGGATGGAGTAGTCTTATACTTACGATCTCGCCTAGAGATTCATCAAGTGCACAACCAAGAGTTTGTCAATGATGATGAATCCGTATGGTGCTCAGTAAGACTGTCTACCACCTTGAGGTGTCTAGTTGAAGTCATCTACAGGAAGCCCACTGCTTAAATCGAGTACGAAAATCGTATGTTGCAAGGACTAACCCGCTCTACTCGTCTCGGATTCACTCAAATCCGGATTCTAGGGGGCTTCAATCTTCCTAAAGACAATTTTACTGAACATATGTACATCGGAGGAGAAAACCCAGCTGAAGCTCGGTTCTTAAACCTCGTTGAAGATCTAGGATTATTCGAAAATGTGAAGTTGGCAACAAGTAGGACAAAAAGCCAGACGCCATCCCACTTTGACTGGATATTTACGAACGAAGAGTTCCTGATTGGCAAATTCCCAGTCCTGGCTCTGCTAGGGAAAAGTGATCAATCCGTCATAGCCATTAGTCTTATCAGCAAAACTGAGCTAAGACATTCCACCAACAACGAGCACTGTAATTTTAAACGGTTGGATGTGTCAGCTCTACAGGACAATGTACAGCAGATGGATTGGGAGGTTCACCATCAACTTGATGTGAGTGCTCATTGTGATTTCTTACCGCACACGATCTTATGTGCTACAAGGTAGTCTGTTCCTCAAATGGTCCTCAAAATCTACAAGCAATCTACAGTCATCAAAAACTGCTTTCCTCGCTTGTTAAGCCGCAAAAGGCAATGTTGGGTGGAATACAAACGAACTGGCAGCAACGGCGCGTACAGGCAATACAAACATATAAGGAACATATGCACAAAGGCAATAAGAGAAGACAAGCTTCAGTACCAGATAAAAATTACTGACAAATCTTTTTCAAATCTGAAAAGCTTATTCCTTTGTGCAGCCTCTCTTCGGCAAGCCAAAACTGGAGTTACCCAACTTCTAGGTCCTAAAGGCCGGACCAATTACGATGGTCTCAACTTCGTACATGCGTATGCTGATGACCGTCTCATAGCAAGTCCGGACAGAGAATCACATCTCCAGCATCTGGACATTGTTTTCGATGGACTCCAAAGGCATGGCATTACTGTCAACATTCAGAAATGCCAAATCGGAACCAACTCCTTAGACCTCTTAGGACACACTATTGATGCCTAAGGCATCCGACCCTGTTGGGATGACCCTGCATTTTTCTCGCAAGCGATATGACAAGCTCAGGGGTCATAAAGGAGCATTTCAACCAATCAGCGATTAATTAGAAGTTATGTGAAGTTATGTTACTAAAATAACGAAAATGGAAAAGTCACACGTGGAGATCCTGATTGGCTGATTTATACACTGCTACAATGATTAGCAGTATTCTAGAACTTTCAGTAAAAACTCAAGGACCCTAAATTACTATAAAATCCCCATATTTTCTGTACATGAAAGGAACCCTGTAGTAAAGTGCTTCACTCACACTTTGTGCATTTTCTCTGGTCTTCAAGTCGCGGTGTATAGTTCTAGCTCGGGGGTACAGAACTAACTTAGGGAAGCGAATATAGCGTTCAATCGGCCAGACCTAACAGACCCCTTAGAAGCAAAGTGGCGGCCATTCTGGATTACCCAGAACCGACCACGATCAAACAGTTACGAGCTTTCAACAGCCTTGTAAGTTTCTACAGACGGTTCATACAGAAATGCACATCTCTTATGAGACCGTTAAGCGACCAACTTCGTGGAAATGCAAAACCAATTAGTTTAGACGACACAGCCCGTAAAGCATTCTCCACAGTTAAGGAACACATCTCTAAGGCAACCCTGCTAGCACATCAGGACACTCAAGAGCCCATTAGTATCGCCGTAGACGCATCCGACTCAACAATCGGAGGAGTCTTACAACAATGGGTTAACAACTCATGGCAACCTTTAGGATTTTTCTCGAGACGGTTGCTAGACACGGAATCTAGGTACAGCACGTTCGGTAGGGAAATCCTAGCTATGTATTGTGCTGTGCGGCATTTCCAAAGTTCCATCGAAGGAAGAGAATTCACGCTTTTTACCGATCACAAACCTCTTACCTTCTCTTTAACTTCATCTTCAGACAAGTACTCACCGCGAGTCTCGACAACTCGACTACATTTCGCAGTTTACTTCAGACATACAACACATTTCTGGAGCAAACAATGTAGTCGCAGACGCCTTGTCTCGAATAAGTTCCTTGAACATTTTCCAAGGAATCGACCTTGTTAAATTCGCTCAGCTTAAAAAAGAAGACATTAAACTTCAACATTAGTTATCCTCAACAACTCTTAAACTAAGTACTAAGCAGATGGGAACAGGTAAGGAAACCTTACTTTGCGACACATCTACAGGTAGAGATCGTTCAATCGTGCCGAAACATTATCGACGCAACGTCTTCAATACGTTGCACAATCTCATCCAGGTGTCCGTGCAATAATCAAACTTATAGCCGAACGCTTTTGCTGGCCTGGCATGAATAGAGACGTGAGGGAGTGGGCACGCTCCTGTGTAAACTGTCAGAAGGCTAAGGTCATACGACACAACAAATGTTCCTTAGGCTCTTTTAAAACCCCTGATGCTCGTTTCGACCACGTTCATTTAGATTTTGTAGGACCGTTACCCGATTCAAACGGATACTCATACCTCTTAACATGCGTAGACCGTTTTACTCGATGGCCAGACGCAGTACCTATGAAGGACATTACTGCTGAATCTGTGGCTCGCGCTTTCGGGTAGCAAATTTCGACTGCCCTTCAACCATCACTACAGACCGCGGACGCCAGTTCGAATCTGGACTTTTTCGTTGTCCAACCTCACTATTAGCAATCACAACCACATCCGAACGACCGCCTACCACCCACAAACAAACGGGTTGATAGAACGTTTTTATCGACAACTTAAAGCTTCATTATCAGCTACAAAAGTTCCACAGTGGATAGACGCTCTTCCACTCTTCTTGCTAGGTATCCGCAATGCAGTGAAAGCTGACATTGGATACACTGCATCTCAACTCGTTTACGGAACGACACTCAGACTTCCAGGAGAATTCGTAGATCCTTCGGTTTCTTCATTGAACATGGATCTAAACTCTTACATGAGTAGGCTTACAAACGCTATGCGTTCAGTTAAACCTGCTCACACTCGACCTCAATCAACTGATGTTTTCGTTCAACCTGAATTACGACATAGTCGAAACTCACATTGACGACCTCTCTAATCAGCATACGAAGGACCCTTCAAAGTTCTTCAACGTGAACCCAAGTACTATGTAGTCAATAAGAACGGTACAAACGATAGCATCAGTATCTATCGCTTAAAAGCAGCGCACTTAGGAAACCCTAGCTACGTCGAATTTCCTTTGGTACAATCGAACGTTACGGCTCCTACACTTGTAGTACTCCATACGACAGCCGACACACACCTTGGCACTTCATCAACATCGGAAAATAAACCTAAAACAACGTGTTCTGGAAGAAGAGTAAGATTTCCAGAACATCTAAACGACTATTGTACGTAGGACACAAACTTTATCCCGAATTCCCTTTTCATTGTTTATTATAAAACATAATTTTTTTAATATGCTCATTTTTTTATTTATTTAAAAAAAACCAAAACATTTTTTTGAGCGTATTTATATTTTTTATACAAAAAACCCACAAAAAAAGCAATTTTTTCCGATCGCTTTTACGCTGTTGCAAGTGTAGTAGTTTATTTTTTTTCTTTCATCTTGTGTCCTTACGCAAGTACGAGTGTATTTTCGACATGCACTCACACGTTCTATTTTATTTCTCTTTTCCAGGACCGCTGGAAAAGAACGACGAAGTTTCACAAGGAACCGAAATTTTCATTGTACTTTATTTCTTTATTGCTATGTACATTTTGGTCCCTTAGTGTATGGAAAGACGACCAGACGCTGCTATGCATAGCAAGCTATCAGAAGAGTATTTACGAACGACAAACTCGTTGGGTTTAAACTTCTGGCTGATCACGTCATAGGGGCATCACTACCTCACTAGGGGGGGGAGTGATCTGTAGCTGTAAATAATTCCCTAAAATCAATAGCTTTCTAAGTGTTCGACATTGGATGCTGACCACGTTGTTTAAGTGGACTTGTTTAACTGAAGGTTTCGGTCATGCATCCGTACCAGATCACGTTTCAACTCGGCGTGGGACACTGCTCCTACGTTCATTAGCCAGCTTATAGTAAAGGTTCTTCGATATATTGGTAACGTATCAAATATATCTTTCCTACCTCTTCTCGTCTCACTTCTGATTTCCATTGGTCAAGAAGGTTTCGATTATGGAAGGTGCTACTGGTAGCTGATTGTAAAGTTAGAATATCAGTCGTATCTTCACCACATAATCCTCAACAGTTTCATTCATCCTCATTTACAGTATGGAGACATAGTATTTCCTCCCTCACTCAAAAAGCAATATTAAACGCTGGAACGTATCCAACGGAGGGTCTGGAAATCAGTTCATGGATTCCAATTCAAGCCTTTTGAAGAGCGCCTACAATCAACGAACCTTTACCCATCAGAGTACAGGCGTCTTAGAGGTGACCTAATGACTTACTTCATCCTTAACACTTCTGGATGTCCCCTTAAACACCTACTTCAGTTTAGCTCCAACACAAACCTGAAGCGTAACACCCAAAAATTAGAAGCAGAACACAGCGAAATGGAATGTAAACACTTCTACACCTTAGGAGTAATAAAATGCTGGAATTCGCTGCCGACTGAGCTAGTCCAAGCGACTTCACAGGAGTGCTTTAAGAGAAAAATCGACATATTCCTAAGGACTAAGGATAATATCTTACTGTGATTGGCCAACTTAATTTTCCTCTTTTATCGTTAATATACTTAGGTTCTTGCCTGGAGCTATTGGTGACCCACTGCTACTAGACACGGAAGCCTGTAAAGCGTAATCTTCTTTTATTCCGTCCACAACCACATGAGTATGATCTAAATATATGCGTTACTTGCAAGGTCATGAAAGACCAAATTGAGCAGAAACTTAAATCATTGGACCCACTTCATATCGTATGTAAAACGTAATTTTTTCACTGAGGAGTAGGAAATAGTTGACTTTTCAGATGGATGCGGCCTAAAATTTGATGTAAAAGTCGTCTCACAAGAATTCGAGGGTAAATCACTTGTTGACAGACACAGGTTAGTAGCCATGACGCTAACTAAAGTTATTCAGAATTGTTCATAGACTGTTGGAAGAGGAAATGAAATCAGTACATGCCCTTACTCTAAAAACGCTAGCTCCTTCACAATGGTCGCTTAAACCCTCCTAACACCCTTATCATCGGGCTCGATAATTGGAAATTGTCATATATTTTTGTAAATAAATATTATGTTATCAGGAATTTATTGACTAGTCCGAATTATATTCTATGGGAACGAGTTGAATACACTTGTGTCTTCACGTAACGGTTTAAATTCAGAATGATTACTCTTATGTTACCAATCAGTCTTAAGATTGGAAGGTGCATTAATCCTCGTGACTGGAGATGTAGCAATAGGCATATATGGGAGGAAACAATATAATAGTTGACCAAAAGTAAGATGAATATATGCGTAGATATTAATATATTCATTAATTGTGGTTCATTTTCAACCAGTGAACTCATGTTTAGGGAAAAGTAGGGTTCTATGCTTTTTCATAGATCCTGTTTATCACACGCTGACACAGCACTTACTGCTTTATTATGTTCTTTTTGCAAAATATCTTATGCCACTGGGTTGAGGGTTAGCTATATTGTGTAATACAAGTCCATGTGATACCATGCAGTCCACTTTCCTGACTGTATTCAAAATACTGTTATGTTGCATTTGCGTTGTGAATTGAGTTCGGGTTTGCCATTTCCGAAGTATGGATAACTTAGAGATTCTCCTAATACATAATACAATCTATACTAACTGGACGACTAATATACAACAACATTCCGATGAGAATTCCCTACAAAATTAGTGAGATAGGTCTCGTGATGATGTTTTATTAAAAACCCTAGAAGGATTCAATCAGGTGTTTACTCAGTAGTTTTTAATTGGAGAATCTTACTGACTGGGCGATTGTCATTAGACAGAAAATCACAGTGAATTAATCAACACACAGAAGAATGCATTGAGAATCTAATTACTAGCGACAACTACAAACTTAATGAACAGAATAGATGTGACGATAGTTCGTTGACAATTGGCTAAATGAGGATAACCTTAGATCGACGTCCGAGTCCTGGATCGATTTTCTTCCTTGCACGCTTTACTTGAAGCTATAGATTCCTCAAAATCTCCGTTCTTCTTGTGGATACAGCCGTAACCAAATGGATCTGGGCCATCTGACTGACAATAGACAGACGATTGAGAGGAAAACTGAAGGTATGAGCGTTAACATCGACCGTAATGTATTTGCGAAGTGGTGTATATTTATTGGTTTTACTGCTGATTTGTCTCTTGAATTTCTTCGTTTCCTGACTAGTTTGATTATCTTGTTGATGTTATATTCATCCTTTAAACGCATTACATTACAGTGTCTTGATTTGGTGGATTGCCACGCATCACGACGCCAGCGGGTATTTGTCTTCTCTCTAGGTGACTTGCTGCTAGTGTGATGCGAAAACTGCTGAATACTTCGAAACAGGACTCGGCTCGTCACAAGGGAGACAAACTTCGAGACCCCAATGTCCCTTTGAATAAACCAGTGTAGTATCATATCTTATATTTGTTAACCGTTGATCTTGGGTAGAAACATCATTAGAAGTTAACTTAGGGTCCTGGTCGATGTAATTCGACTAGTCAGAGATTTATTTATTTGAACACATAAATATTGGTAGAAGGGGGCACCAAATATGTATGCGCCACACACAAAAATTGTCATTTCATTTAATTGTGCGAGGGCTATGATACTAGCCGGGTGCACAGACCGAAGCAGGTGGTTTTCTTAAGGGGCCCCACACCCGGAACCTTCGACCTAAAGGTCTGATCCATTAGGCGGTGGAGCATCGTGAGGAGATGCAGTCCCATGGTAGCTGGTGACCGACTATTGGTTCATACGCCATTTGTTCCCTCACGATACTGGAGCCCATTGGTTTTGAATCATAGTTTTCCAACTTCCCTGGGTGGATTCACCGTGTTCACCAACCTGGTTAAAGCGCCGGACACTCACTTTTCGTTCTCTTAATTTCATAAACGACACCCCCGCCACGAGAAGGCAGTGAGTAGGACTTCCCTGGCAGAGGCTGTATACGCGTGGCTGTGTGAGGGCATTTGGAGGGATAGGGTAGGCCCTACTCACTCTCGGCCGTACCAGTGCATTTGGGGGTTAGTCATAGATAGGGGGTAAGGGAATTGTATTAGTTTCAAGAAGAGTATTAGAGAGATTCTCAGTCAATTTGTGATGCTTATAGACTAATTGTTTAAATTCATCTTCACAGCTTCCTACAATTACTTATAGCTACTGTTGTGAAACTAGCTGACGGTTGGGTCTTCAAAGACTGAAATTCAACCAATTAACGCCTATTAAAAGCCTGTTTTCACAATAAGTAGTAGGACTGCAAACGAACAATAGGGTGTTTTAACTGGCATGGTTAATTATATGGAATGCGTCCATGGGCTTTGAAGTATTTCAGTAAAGTGAACAAAGGTCTGGGAGCTAGAGAGTGTTCCAACGTCATGGAATGAGTCGATAGTTGTCCCTATCTTTAGAATGGGTTCGCGTCGTTTCCGTAGCAACTATCGGGGGATCAGTTTACTTTCGATTGTGTCCAAACTATTGGCTTCCACCATACTTCGTAGGTTGTTCAAAACCTGAGAAAGATTGACTCGCGAGTAGCAGGCTGGCTTTTGTTCTGGTCGAGGATGTATTGATCATATCTTCACCCTCCGCCAAATGTTATGACACCGTCATACCTATCACAGGCCAACAATTGTAGTGTTTCTTGATATCTGGACCACCTTCAAATCGTTGGACAGAACTGTTCTCTTGGATTGTCTTTTGAAGAAGAGTGTGACTGAGAAGTTTATTAGCATCTTGAAAGCTCTATATACAAACATCTCAGGCAGAGTGAGGGCATACAACCACCTTTCTCCATTGTTCCATTCAAGCAGTGAGGTTATGCAGGGTTGCCCAATTTCATCATTCCTCTTCAACTTTGCCATCGATGGCATTCTGGAAACAGCTCTGATGGATGTGAGTAATGGCGGTGTGGATCTGTTGCCTAGAGAAAGACTTATCGACCTTGAGTATGCGGATGATATTGTCTTACTGTGCGATAATGCCCATGCCATGCAATCCGCACTTAATCAGTTGGCAATCAGTTTCCATAGGTACGGTATGTGCTTTACACCTTCGAAGTGCAAAGTACTTCTATAAGACTGGCAGGATTCTAATCCTGTACTCACCCTGCGTGGTGAGCAGATTGAAGTAGTTGAGAATTTTGTGTATCTAGGCAGCTGCAGAAGTTCTGACGGTGGCGTGAATGATGAGATCAATTCACGTATATTGAAAGCCAGAGAGACTTATGCCAATCTGGGCCATCTTATGAGCCTTCATGATGTTAGTCTGTCTGCAAAAGGTCGGGTCCACAACGCGTCGGTAAGAGCAGTTTTTCTTTATGCTTGTGAAGCCTGGCGTCTCCGAGTTGAGGATGTTAGACGACTCTCTGTGTTCGATCATCGTTGTCTCCGAAGGATCGCTGACATCCAGTGGCAACACCATGTTAGTAATGCAGAATTTCTGCAACGTGTGTCCAGGGACAGCAACGATAATTCGGTGGGTGTCTTCATCTAGAAACATCGACTTCGGTGGCTTGGACATGTACCACAAATGTCATCCCGGAGAATTCCACGTTGTGCATCATTGGCGGACACTGGGACTAGTTGGAAAATGCGGAGAGGTGGTCAGTGTATGACACGGTGTCGTGGTGTGAAAGAAAGCTGTACAAGACTGGCTTCTGTTGGTCCTCCACTACTCCCTAGCTGGGATCCTAGAGATGGTGGAGCACAGTGGCTTGAGACGTTATCAAACATGGCTTAGAATATAAGTCAGTGGCGATCCTGCTGCAACTTTCTTTTACTTTTTTCATAAAAATGAAACGTAACTTCTTTAATTGAAAGAATTGTTTCTAGTTATATTTTTGCTAACTGAACTGTTTCTCCCATTATTGTATATTCCTCTCATATATTGGTTTCTGTTCCTTGTTGTTTTCCTTTTACTATACGCGCTTTATATTCTCTATTTCTTCACAACCACATTGTTATTGTATGGCGCATATGTATTTGGTACTCCCTTATATTAATGTTTATGTATTCAAATAAATAATAAAATTCTAAAAAACCTGATAATTATTAACTAGAAAGTTCAGTTGGGTTGATTTCAACTATAGAAGAGGTAAGTAAAGTTCTTCTTTCAGTGACTGTTTTGCTATCATTGTCTCAAAGAGAGTCACATATTCGTTTTGTATCTACCTCTAACAGCACTCAAGATCACTCTATTCATAATCAACTTTCCTTATTCTATTTCTATTATTCCTCCTACCTCGATTACCAACCCTAATCTTCCTCCTTAAGTGTCACTATGGCCAGCGATTTTGGTGCGCAAAATACTGTCCCAGGTCTACTGAATTCTCGCTACAAACTACACATTGCGGCCTTCAATGTACACATGTCAAATCGGCCAGCAGGCCTCCTTGGCTAAGACCTTATAATCTCGTACCATTGATGTTAGCTATGTTTCTGAATAATATATACAGGATCTAGTGTGGTCATTCACTTGACCTGGCCAAAACGGAGAGCCGACGAGAGACTGCAAGTTCTCGTGGACTTGCAGGTGTATGCACAATACTAAGTATGGGGCAGGACAAGCACTTATGGGATAGATCCCTGTTAACAATCGCCTATATTTTGTTCGGCTAAACGGCTCCCTAAGAACTCGTAAGGACAGGGACACACGTTGTCGTCTTTTCGTCACTCCTGCTTACGCTCCCACTGACTGCAATCTGGATGAAGTGAAAGATAACTTTTACAGAGAGCTCTCTGAACTTCTTCAAAAAGCTAAGCACTCAGACATAGTACTTTTAGCGGGTGACTTTAATGCCCAAGTACGTAGCTTAAACCAAACAGAAAGACATTTAGGTGGGTATTTCGGCCCAGCGAACAGATAATGGTGATCGTTTGTTGCAACTACGCTCAGACAATCGTCTCTTCTTAGCAAGCACTAATTTCGAGCATAAGGAGAGACATCGTCTAACATGGTGACCCCCTGCAAAAAACTAACGATAGATTCAAATAGACCATATTGCCATCAGTCATCGTTGGAGAGGCTCGATTAAAGACTGCCACTCGTTCTGGAGTACGTGTACAATGATAGTTTTTCTTGAATTGAAAGCAGCATTTGACTCTGTAGACCGAGAGGTTCTGTGGCAGTGTCTGTCATTGAAAGGCGTACCCCAGAAGTACATGAACCTTGTGAAGGCTCTTTACTCAAACACCACCAGTCAAGTGAGAGCTTATGGCAAACTGTCATCTGATTTTGCAACCTAAAATTGGTGTCCGACAAAGCTGTCCACTATCTCCATTTTTGTTTAACTTCATTATAGAGCTATTGCTGGAAATAACACTCTTCGACTGAATTTTCAGGAATTGATCTTCTACCAAGGGGTACACTAATCGACGCAGTCCTATTTGGCGAAGACGCTGACAAAATTCAGAGTTTTCTGTTAGAACTGAGTAATAATGCCAGGATGTTTGGGATGCGTTTCTCCCCATCCAAATGTAAATTGTTACTCCAGGACTGGCCTGCGTCAACAACTGAACTTAGGATAGGGAGGGAAGTAGTCGAATGCGTCGACAACTTCACTTACGTTGGAAGTCTAATCAGCCTTAATGAGTTAGTGTCTGACGAAATCTCAGCTCGTTTGGCATCTAACAATTTACGTCACCTATGGCGAAGACGATATATCCGTCTATTAACTAAGGGACGAGTATACTGCGCAGCAGTTCGCTCTGTTCTACTTTAGGGTTGAGAAACGTGACTATTAAGAGTATAAGATACTCGTAAGCTACTAGTATTTGACCACAGATGTCTTAGAAATATTGCTCGCATCTGCTGGGATCACCGGGTAAGTAATAGTGAGGTTAGACACAGGGTATTAGGGAATGATGGTAAATCAGTTGATGAGGTCATGAATCTTCATCGACTGAGATGGTTGGGCGCGTGTTACGTATGCCTGAACACCGATTACCACGACGCACTCTGCTGACTAATGTTGGGGAGAAAGTTATGGGCGGCTCAACGAAACGTGGCATCAGTCCTTGAAGTCACTAACTTCGGTAGATGCAGACTACTTGGTTGGGGTCAGCGTGAATATCGTAACCAATGGTTGGAGACTTTAGTTGAAATGGCTCAGAATTGATCACAATGGCGTAGGTGTATACACTCTTTGCCTTCCCTTGAACCTTAAGATTAAAATTGCTTCATATCTGTCTTTCTTCCTGTACTATATCCTTATATACAACCTTTTTTTATATATTACCACCATTAAATTAACTTCTATGAATCCAGTGTTCATCTTGTTGTGCCAACGAGGTATGGCAACTTGGACCGATGCATTGATGTGCTTGGTCCTACGTTGTAGCTGACTGACTGGAGTACGTGTTTAGACTCTGATCATGCTCTAATGCGAGCACGCATATGCTTGCGCCTCATCGGACGCAAAAAAAGCCACATTAAGAAGACCAATTAGAGTTGAACTCAGTGAAAAGGTGGCCTAAGACAGATTCCCTGGACAACTGAAGTCACACCTAAGCGATTTCGAAAACGAGGCTGACCTAGTTATTGCTTGGGAAAGTATACAAAGAGCTGTGGAAACAGCAGCGACATCTAGTACTGATTTGAACCAAAAGGTTACAAAAAACCAGTGGGTTTCTGCGACATCCGTTGCGCTGATAGACCCTTTTAAACTTATCAGGCTTCGAACACGATGAAAAGCGAAAACAAGTCATATCTTGATTAACCAAAAGTCTGCGAAACGATCGTGAGCCATGGTGAGCAACGGAAGAAAAAAAGATGTAAAAGGCAGTGGCTGCAGGTAACACCAGACAGCTTTTCAGACTAATACAAGAAACCGGAACTAAGAAGCCTACTGTGAGATAATCTAGGAAAAAGACGGCACAGTCATCTGCTCTCAGTCTAGAGGTATAGGACGATGAGCGGAACACTTTAAGGAGCAGCTCAGCTGGTCTTCAGCTACCCACTACTTCCAAACAGCCTGAATGGAACATTGAAACAGGCCCACCAACTCTAATTGAAGTTCAAAAGCCATAGTTAAACTGAAATGAGGAAGAGTTGCCTGTCTAGATGGATTGACTCCGGAGGTCTTTAAGGATGGTGGTCCAGTTTTAGCCATTAGGTTGACTAATATTTTAGCTAAAATATGGAAACTGGACATAATATAACCTGACTGGTTGCAATTACTGATCGTCCCAATACATAAGAAAGGATCAAAGTCATCCTGTGATAACCATGGAGGGATTATTCTAACTAAAATAGCATCTAAAATACTAGCCTCAATAATTATCGGGCGCCTAACTAAGACTCGTGAACTCCATGCACGAGATCAGGCTCTAGACCTGGTCGTGGCTGCATCGACCGTATACTCACCATTCGTCAGATTTTAGAACACAGGCATGCTTATCAGCGTCCGACAATGATGGCTTTTCCTTCAATTAAAAGCGTCATTTGACTCTGTAGACCGAGAGGTTCTGTGGCAGTGTCTGTCATTGAAAGGCGTACCCCAGAAGTACATAAACCTTGTGAAGGCTCTTTACTCGAACATCACCAGTCAAGTGAGAGCTTATGGCAAACTGTCATCTGATTTTGCAACCTAAAATTGGTGTCCGACAAGGCTGTCCACTATCTCCATTTTTGTTCAACTTTATCATAAACCTACTGTTGGAAATAATGTTTTCGTCGATTGAGTTTTCGGGCATTGATCTCCTTCCAGGAGGCCCATTTATCGACTTAGACCACGCAGATGATATAGTCCTGTTCGTTGAAGACTGTGATAAAATGCAGAGTCCTTCGGCAGCACTGAGAAACGCGTCGACAACTTCACTTATGTTGGAAGTCTGATCAGCCCTAATGGGTTGGTGTCTGACGAAATTTGTGCACGGATTCAAAAAGTTCGGCTTTTGCCAACTTACGTCACCTGTATAGACCAGAAAGATTGTGAACTACAGTTTCACAGAAACTACCAGGCTCCAGTGGGAAAACTGAGATAAAAATGGCTAGTAAGAAGTCGTTTTATTTCAAAGGTTGGTTATTGATGTCTTCAAAAGTCGTAGAGAAAATTCTGAGGGATCTAAATTTCAGTCAAGTCATTCAGACTTTTCCGAACTTATAAATTATGAGAGACATTATTCATTTGATCCAAAAAACGATTTAACGGGTTAAATCTGTAAAATATGTCGTTCATTATATTATGGACACCTACACTACACCATAAAAATTACAGAAGTCCAAGAGTCCACGAAAATTGACAGATTTGAGTGACAATGTGTAGATACTTTTGTCGGATGGCCATAAGACCTTTGTATTCCTTACGTCCAAAATTCTACTATTCAGGTTATGCAAAACTTTGGGAGACCACCAACGCCTAAAAATTACCTAGTAATTGTATCATGTAAGCAGTTTTTATTACCACGTTGATGTTTAATTAGGATTCTTTAGATCTATTCGTAGATATTATCTAAACAGTGTAGATATAGTCTACAAATGATCATAACTTCACGATCCTAATTTATAAAGTTCGAATAGTTCCCACCAGGCGATTTACTTGAGAGATCGAAAAAGCGAACTTGTCTTGAATCTGCAGTAAACTCAAGAATTTCCGAAGGAATAATTTCAACTATATATTTTAAGAAAATATGTAATTTGTAGTCAGAATGATTTATGTATAGTATTATATGCTTTCAATTTGTCACACATCATCATAATCATCTCGCAATCCATTATAATCCTCAATCCGTTTACGAATCTTCGATCGAGATCCCCAAGTTATGTAGTCTTCCATAGATCTGACAGCAAATTTAGAAATAAAAACGGAATAACATGTTAGCCACACGATTTAATGCATTAGATTCGTCTGTAATGACTACAGAGATAATGTGGTTTGATATATAGAATAATAAGTCTTTTTTTCATGACCGAATGCATGGTACAAGAGGGCACCAAAAAAAGATTCATCGGGAATAAGATGACTGTACTAATGGACTAATAAAAGGGAAAAATTATAAAAATATATGGTCTAGGTAGAAACCACAATCCATACAGATTTCATTCAGCTAGATATATTATGTTGTTTAAGGTATACACTAGAAAGCTGTAGCAGTATCGTAACTAGTTCTTGTTCCCGTCGACGAGTTTATACTAGGTCTTCCCACTAGATTGAGTCCTAAAACTATTTTATACCCTTTGTTCTGCGAAGTCATTCACTTTTCGCGAATTATATTCTCCGTATCTAGTCTTTTCATTGTCACTGATACTACTGCTAAATTTACTACTTTAGTACTCATCTTACTGTGCAGATGTGTGGCAACTCGAACAGATATGTGCCAGTTTCTGCGTTGCTTACGATTGACTGAATCTTTAATCATATAGTTAATGTTAGATATAGTAAAAAAATATATTCATATGTATTCACTTAACCGAAGTTCATAACCATGAAAATTCTTATATATCTTGTCACAAGCTGCAGATTGTTTGCAGATAACCTCTATGAATCTTTCGAAATAATACAAAATAAGTACAAGGAATCTCTGAGACAGTTTTCTACATCTGACAATCTACTGTATACTCTATAATTTAACGTAAGATAAAGGGTTTAGATCATTGACAAACCTTGTAACCAGGTATGCTGGGTCTCGTATGATATCTGGGCCCACACGAACATGTCCTTGCTCAACAAACGTCACAGCTGCTTTCATTGTTTCTGCCATTTTTGAACGCATTACAATAACTGAAAGCCGCCTTCGACAAAATGAAGAAGCATTGACCTTTGACGCTAACATAAGACTTCTTCTTGTTGGTATCAAACCCAAATTGTGTCTTTATAATTGTTACACTTAAAAATGATGACATACAACTTTGCTGTCAGCAGTTCAGTCATTTCTGCTCTCCAAGGATCATTTTCATCGATATTCTTAAGTTTTTCCGCAATTTCTCTGATTTTTCGAGAGAGTTTGTTGTAACTATGGCACAAGAAAAGATACTCTTAAAAATAGAATCTGTCTGACACATTTACTAATATATGATTATCGTCACTCCATACGTAAAAATAATCGAAAATTCTACAACGCAAAATTATAAATGTCAGTAATATTCTTAGAAAATGTTTAAACAAAGTTTGATCACCGGGAAATATTATCAGTGAATTTTCGGAAGTATCGTGTCCTCTGAGCTGGGTGGCTTAATCAAGAAACTTTGATTGTTTCTCTAGGAAACATCATCAGCACATAGATGTGATCAAGACCCATCTAAATCCTAGGTCAAAAGTGAAAGATGCTGATCAGTCGCCCAGAAATTCTAGTAGATCACTTCGTCTTAAAGTGAGTTTTTATTAGTTTATTGAGAAAGACAATAGAAGCTTCCTGATTGAGCCATTCAGCTCAGAGAGGACAGAATCTCCAAACCCTTCACTTTGAAACACAAATGTTCCCCGTCAACTCATTATCAGTCAAGAGAAAGAATTTTATTAGGATCGCAGATGTTACATGAATTAGCTGTACCATTTGGATAACACAATTGAGAAACTGGATTTAGAGATCATATTCCAGTCACCAGCTTAAGCACACGAAGGATTAAAGCTGCAATTCTGCATATTTATGAAGCAGATGAATCGAGCCTACAAAAATTGTCAAGATATGGTTAGATATAAGAGAGACATCCACGGTGGATGACAACTATCATTCGTTGAGTTCTTGGTAATACAGAAAATCAGAAAAACATAGTAGCTCTTGATGCTTCACTCACTAATGTACCACTTCATGTAAACCTACTACATAACAATGGGATATATAAAGATAGATGTTCTGTAATTACTTAGCAAAACATAGTTGTTCCTCTATGGATATTAGCTTATAGTAATAGCCTGGTAATAATTAGGATTGTATCCACGGTTATAAGACTCTTCATATCATATCTGGGATGACATTAATTTCAAGATCAAACAATAAATAGCGAAACGGATTTGAAGTTAGCTCTATGCAGTTACTCAGACCAGGGAATTGATGTTGAGAAGGAAATAGAGATGATATACTTGTTACGGCCAATACAGGACTATATGTAGATCTAGTGAATGTGTAACGTACTAGAGAAAGTAACTGAGAAACAACAAACCAACACTGAAATGATTGGAAACTTTTCAATCCAGCAAACAATTTGAAGATGTATAGAGCCGGAAATGAGGAACGTAATCACTAATTATACCTGCTGATATTAACTAGTAGGGCTGAATGTAAGGAAGCTTTTAACCGGAAACGTATCAAAACACTAAAACACCCGCTGTTTTAGAAGAAAGCCACTCAGTACCACGATCGAGTCGTTGTTTTACAAGGAGCATTGACCAAATCAATTGTGGTCACGAATTTCGGCATGAGGAACTAGCAAAATTTAATCTAATATACCTCTTGTTCAAATCCTTCATTTCGACACCGATACGATGGCCTTCGAATAAAGATGTTTATTAAGAAGCGAAGGCTGCAAACCAAAAGACTAAAATAACGAGTCATAAGTCAACCGCTAATACTTGTTAGATTGCGCATGGCATTAAGATTTTTTCTATTAAAAGGTTAGTTCTCAAAGATATCAACAACAATTTACAACTTTTTGGAAATTACTCCATCTCTGATCTAGTTTCAAACTACTGAAACAAAACAGTAACCAACTCATTAGCACATACATTGAAGCCTACGTAATTAAACTGTGTAGGGGTGAAGATGTTTAATATGAAAAGTATGGACTAGACGCTACCAAGTGGATAAGTGGTAATCTGAAACCAACAATTCCAAACCGCAGTCATAAACCTAATTAAACTAGCCTATTTGATTGTTGTGTACAAAAGGGATTATTTTTCTTCAGTATATTCTTTTAAAAAGGATTATGGCTCGTAAGAAGACTATATGCTCGGTGATAACTGATTACCTGATAAACAAGTTAATGAAGTTTGCCGTTGTCCGTGAATAATTAAAAAGTGATCGTTGTTATATGATAGAAAAGTCCTGACGGGACAGTTGCCCCCCTCATTTTCCCAAACATAAGTGACCCTTATGCTTTCGAGGTTTTTCTCAGGTTTGTACGAATAAGTCGACATTATTAAGAAAGTGATTTGATTGTGGCGACTTGTTGATGGACCCTGTAGTTATTAAGAAAGAAACTGTTTTAAGCCTACTCCAGCATCTCAAACCTGATAAGTCTAGTGGTCCTGATGATATTCATCCTCGGATTATGAAAGCCCTCTCATATGTTATTGCTGAACCCTTAGCGATGCTGTTCGATATGTCCCTACGGCAGTCCAGATTTCCCAGAGACTGGAAGGACGCAATAATCAGTCCGGTGTATAAGACTGGGGGTAGGGATTTAGTTAGTAACTATCGACCCGTCAGCTTAACTAATGCAGTTGTAAAACTAATGGAAAAGATTATTAGGATGACTGTTATAAACTACGTGGAAAGACATGATCTTTTGTCAAAGGAACAACATGGTTTTCGAAAAGGTCTATCATGTTTGACAAATCTTCTCATCGCAAGAGAAGATTGGGCTGAGGCAAAAGATCACAATATTCCTGTAGATATCATTTTCATAGATCTAAGTAAAGCCTTTGATAAGGTTTCCCATTCTGGTCTTAAATTGAAACTAGAAAGTTTTGGAATTCATTATGCAGTCATAGAATGGCTAAGAGACTTTCTTCATGAAGGGAGACAACGGGTAAGAGTAAATGGGGCTCTCTTATCGTGGGAACCAGTAAAAAGTGGCGTCCCCCAAGGCACGATTTTAGGTCCTCTTCTCTTTTTACTTTATATAAATGAATTACCAGCTATAGCTAAGTCATCCGTCCTACTATTCGCCGATGACATTAAGATTTGGAGACCCATATATAGTATGTCAGACAGAATAGTTTTACAGGAAGATCTTAACTCACTAGTTGCATGGATGAATGGGTGGTCACTAGAAGTAAACCCTAATAAAAGTGTCGTGATGCAATTAAATAACTACGATGATTCGTATCACTACACATTATGTGGACTAGTGTTGCCCAAAGTAAGAAACTATAAAGATTTAGGAGTCATACTAAGTAATGATCTCAAAACAAGCAGTCACTGTAAGGCTGCTGCTGCAAAAGGCTATAGGGCATTATGGTCTATTCGTAGATCTTTCCGGTATCTGGATGGGGAAATGTTTAGATTATTATACCCAACTTTCGTACGGCCACATTTGGAATATGGGATTCAAGCAGCGAGTCCTTGTTTCAAATATGAGGCGGATATGTTGGAACGAGTCCAACGCCGCGGGACAAAAATGGTAAAAGGCTTATCTAGCCTATCTTATGAAGACAGACTGAGACACCTCAACTTATTTCCGTTATCTTACCGGCGAATACGGGGTGATCTAATATTGGCATATCGTATCCTGAACGATGACCTTGGTACTAACATGTCCTATCTTTTCCTCCTGTCTAGGGCTGAGCATTTGAGAGGACATTCAAAGAAAGTCCAAAAACCGAGATCAAATCGTCTACGTCTGGAGTTTCGTTTCTTGCACCGAGTAGTGAATTACTGGAATTCTCTACCAGAACACGTAATATCAGCACCTTCTGTTGATATATTCAAGACGAGATTGGACCTCCACAGTGTAACAAACTGCAAGGATTAAAATAGGTCACTAGACCTTCTATCCTTATTACTGAAGACTGATAAATATTTTAATCAAGGCTCACAGTGTGTAGTCTTCGCGTTTCTGGATGTGAAATAGTCGCATAATCTTAACTTCATGTAAGTTGTTGTCACATTCCCAGTTAATAAAGTCGACTTTCTTTAGCAATTTTCGTTCGTGATACTTTAATTTGCGGACCATCGTAACGCTGCCGTTGAAACTTTCGCGTTTCTGCAATATTCAATACCTGGAACTCGTATAAATGTATTGTTTTGTTGTTTTAAAATGATCTTGGGTAACTTGACTGAGCTATTTATAATCAGTTTGTTAGTTATCTGTTGGTTTGCACACTAGTTTCAGTTTCACTCCGGAGAGGATAAGAGCCTGGGTAGTCTGGTTATGTGAGTTTCTCAGTTGATCTAAACTTCTTTTGAATGCGTCAATAAATGTAGTTTCAATCACATCTTTAGGTAGCCACTTACATCCGCTGATGATTCTGTGGGGAAGTTGATAGTCAGCTGACAAGTAATTTGTTCTGGACGTGTAAACCATTTTGGTGTATCCTTATAAATTCTCTTTTTTGGAAGGCAATAAAAAAGAGAACATGACAAATGCGAAGTTTGAGTGCTTTAAAAAAATGCAATCAAGTCGCCTGTTATCCATCTATATGACAATGGGATTAGGTTTAGTTTATCCAGTATTTCCTCATACAACTGTCTTGCGATTTCAGGAATCAACTTATTTGCAGATTTCTAAAACTGATATAAGAACTCACGTTCTTTTCCTAGTGGCTGGCTAGCGGCTTGTATACAACTTTCGAGTTTAGGTCAAATGAACATCGCATGCAAAGTCAAGGAGTTTTCAGCATCTACATTGTCGAAGGGTCTACGTATTGACCATAGGGTCCTAAAGCCTTTAGAGTCTATTGCACATCATGGTGCAGAAGCTTTCCAGTCTTGAATAACGATGACCCCTAGGTCATTATCTGTCTGGATAACAAGCAGCTGAGTATTAATCATCATGTATGGATTTGTACCTTGGTGACCAATATGCATCATGATCCACTCAAAGATATTTATCAGCAACTGTCGAATTCTAGACCGTTCAGATAACTTTTGCAAGTCAACAACTTCGGTGTTCTTTGTCGACGACTTGGGGATTACTCGAATTAGACAGGAATAGAGTGACCTCCTAGCTTACGTCGAAATCACACCTCGCGCTTCATCCATAACGTGGATCACCCTACCTTCTTATCCAGTACTATGATCACTCTTTTGACTGTATAACTAAAACATAACGTTACGAAAGAAATGTTCTGGTTCCTACGTGCAGCCTGTTCAGGGAATCAAATAACACAAGCCATGTTAGGCCGATTCCTCTTGCACGACTCACGAGATAAAGTCAGTAAGCATGGATGACGATCCAAAGAAAGGGTGAGGTAAATGCACTTTGTATCTGCAATTGAATATCTGTTTCTTTTTCATATTAGTTTCTGGTAAACATTACCTTTAAGTTATTATTACTTGTCTATTTTTATTTTTAGCTGGCTTCGTAAGTACTCATAGACTTAACTGTAAGTTTTAATCCAACATACGGTTGTACACTACCATTGGTACGTATTCACCGTCTTACATGGCACCATGGATTCATAGGTTTGACGATTACTATCACATCGGGCATTCGTTTGTCTACCGCGAGCACTTTCGATATTACGTTAGTTATGCAGAAGAGTAGTGTTACTTTTCTTCTTGTAGAACAGTTAACGAAAGCGGTGCTTCCAAGTGATGAACAGAGAAGAAAGATTATTGGTGAAGCAAATAATATGAAAACATAAATGATTGTAGACAAATGTATATGTATTTGTTTAAAAGTTTAATGAACAATATCATTTTTAGTGCATCAGTCTTTTAACTAAACAAAGCTTTTCTATTGTGTTCGTTATTTCAGATGCTGGAAAGGTAGGGCTACTTTGATAAGGTGAATAAACTGTGACTGAGTATCGGGACTTGTCTTCTAAGAGTCATGCAAGTAGTTTGATCAATAACTTTCGTACAACTTTTTACTTTATGCGGTAGATACGTTCTTGTTTGCAACTATGGTTTAATTGCTTTCGAATAGAGTTCATTTTTCGGAGTTTACTGAAAAACAGAAACTATTAATGTTGTGTAGTAAAATGTGAGTACCTGTTATTAAGTACGTATTCTTTTCCGGTAAATGGGTTATCTTGTGGTTTTTCAGCAGAATGTCCATAGATTTCTTCGAAGTATAATAAAGTACTTAGGAGAACCAAAAATTGTGAAGAAGGTCCCCAAAATGTCCCAAAAACGTTGGGGTTTTATCACAGAGCATAAATGGATTTCCCCAAAGTTTTCAAAAATTCTGGAGAAATACTGAGGGAAACCCTAAATTTGGCGCCTATTACACTGGCATCATATATAAGATACTGGTCAGATGACATGTGGTTTGGAGGTGATGAGGACAGACAGCAGATCAAAGAATATGAAAAAAAGAGTTTAGAATTGCGAAATTTCAAAGTAAGACAATGAGTAAGAGAGAAAACAGAACATTGGAAGGAACTCACAGTAATTTTGGACATTATGAGCTTCTCATAGTCGGCCATATTTTGGGGAGCGAGCATCTATCGGGTCAGTGAGTTGTCTGTCTACCTGTAACGAGAAACAGGGATATAGCGCTTCTTGGGAAGAATGGTGTAACCTTAAACATTAGAGAGATTCAGAGTATGAATATGTGGGGTAGTAGAATAAGGGCATATATAATAAAGAAAGAATAATGGGAGAAGGGAAACCATGTGTTTTATCGTTTGGCTGTAGACATATAGATGACAATGGGAGCTCGTTACATCCATGATCGGTGTAGATAATAGGCGGTTCGTGCCAAAGTCCATTACGATTATACGGGGGTCCTATGGATATTTTATGAAGCTCTTTAGAGTCTGGAAATAAGTTTATTAGTCTTTCGAACTTGGTGATGTTGTCACAGTTACAGAGAGCTATTGGCAAGCTGTTCCACAACAAATCATACGTCACCCTAAAAAACTTACGACGCATTGATTTTTGTTGTTTTATGGCAAGTAGCGTATATAGTCGTTTTTGTGTCTGTAAGCAGGATCATGGATCACGATTGAGCGGGAGGTTAGAAATGAGAGACCATATATTACCTTGTCGATAAATACTAGACCATTCTTTAGATTGCTGTGCCATGAGCGTTCTAAGGAGAAATGCTTACATCTAGCTGTGTAGTTGAGAGTGTAGTCATACCATAGCAGACGGCCTGTGTAGCGTCTCTGAACATCTACTCTTATCTTGTCTGTGATATTAATGTTTGAGATAAAAGAGCAATATTCAAGCGAGGGTCGTATACATATTTTGTAGAGGGTAAGCTGTGATCATTACTGTACTAAGAATTTCCGAAACAGCGCGATTTACGTCATGCAGAACTAGGTGAGCACAAACGAAGATATTGTTTGTGAGTTTCAAAATCAGGCACACATTGGGTACAAAAGACTCATTAGTTCATACAAAGTCCACAGTAAGTTAAGCTTCTGTTGTGAAGACGTTCTTTATTATGCAACTGATGTAAGTGGGCGAGAATGCCAATCATTGGTTGTTTTGCTTAGTCAGATATGTAGATAGTGTGACAGGTGTTATGTATTATATATTCCCCTATCCTTATTATTTTTGATTAACTGTTCCTTGTTGTGTGATTATGTCGGATTTTGGTGTGGGAATATATTGACGTTCTGTTCTGGCTAATCTCGTGTTCTTGATCTGAGTTGTGTTGATGTCCTGTAGAATAGACACTGGGGGGGGAATCTAGTGTAAATATTCGTCTAAGGTGAATTAGCATTCCACATACGTGTAAAAATAAAAGGACTATTATAACAAGAAACCCTAGCGTTATAACAAGTATCCTACCCCTATAACAATTGGCGACAGAGTAAAAAGATCAAACCAAAGCCAGCGTGTAGTCGATCGAAAATCAGGTAATTATTTTGTGCAATCAGCACCTTGGATTGTCGTTGGTGTTTTTGAACGACACTGGTCATTAGTCATACAGTGAATTGATGACTCTCCCTTCCGATCGATTACAGTTGCTGCTGGAGTTCATGGTCAAATTACGCACACAGCTTCTGAATCACCAATGCTTTGCATATGCGTCGGAGGTGGATGGATTGGTCTCTGAACTGCACACAACTGTAAGATGATCGCAGTCTCCATTAATCTTCGAAAAACCGTAGTTTAAACGAAAATGCAGTCACTCAAATACGCCAAATGGTCCATTACTATCCAATTCAGAAACATGCCTGGTAGTGGATTCAAACCCCACTATCCCCGGAACAGCATGTACGAATAGTGACTTTTCCAGCTCACATAATGACGACGCCGTGTTAAACGTTCGTGAAGCCAACCAAAAAAACAGGGAAACAACTGAACAGTACACCGAATGCAGCTAACCCAGTGGACCTCATCATTCTGCAATAAAAATTTCTGACGATTCTAATTGTCATGATTCTCATGTTTTGCCAGTAGATATGTCGGATGTATCAAATGGTAATCAAGAACGTAGTGTAGTTTTGATGTTTGCTGATCATCACAGCGATTCACTATATACTAAATCAAACTCTGGCCTCGCGTCAAGTGTTGTCGATCCTCACCATCCAGTCAGTCTAAGCAAATTCTTGATTGAATGCGGGAAATATGGTATAAATAGAACCACATTAAATGGAACTTGGGAATATGAGGATCAAATGCTATTTTGTGGGGGATGATATATTCCGGAAATTTAAAAACTGGATATCAACTCCGGATCTTTCGAAAAGGGAGTTGTGTTTTTCCCTGATAAGCATAATGAATGGTAACATTGTGGTTTATTTATGAACCAATACTATGCATATACTTTTTATCGTGTAATAGCTAAACAACTAAAGTATTCATATTCGTGTCCCATTTATTATAAGCTTCGTTTTGACCCATAGGCTATTATTATACGATTTACCATTCATGAATTACACCCAGTCTACTAATTATTGTTCCCCCTATTCACAACCACATTTGGCTAAATCTTGTACAAATGTTATTTTCTGTTCTATGGTACGATGTGGTCAGTTTGGTTGGTATATAAACTCATTATGTTTGAAATATAAAGATTCATGCCAGAGAGGCTGTTATTGGTGTTCTGGGCTTAACTGACTGGGCTAGGCAAATAGAAGGACCA